TAGAGCTTCGCAGACCGGCGATGCCGGTTGGGCGCGTGTTCGCCATCATGTTCAGTGTTTGATCTTTTGTTTTTGCGGCTGTCCATTGCCTTTGTACTTCTTGCTGCGTTATTAAGTTGTTGTTCCACGGTATTTGCGAGGTTTTCTCGAAAAATGCGATATTTGCAGCGTTTCACGCACCACGCCCCCAAAAACTTCGATATTTACGCAGGTTTTTGCAACGCTGCCACATAGATCGAAACTTGTGAAAGCACTGTAATTTACAGTGTTTTGCGCCTGGGCGCAAGCCGAAAAAAGGCATCAAAGCTGTCCCTGTCAGGCCCAAATCCAGCTCCTTATTTCCAGCTCCCAATTTGTTTGTCCAATTTGCCTGATTTTTGGACGACTTTTTCGACATCACAGAAACAGAATCACCAAAAAAAGGCCTCTCCCCTACCAGGCTCAAGGATTTTACTATATTGTGTTAGGCAAAAGCGGCTCGAAATGCAGGCGAGAACAATTTTTTTAGCTCGACTTCACAAAACACCGTAAGGGGGAGGGACCCGGCATCGGGAGCACAGGCGATCAGCTACACCATATGGCATCGCCGGATTTAAAGGCTTACGCCTAACAGCCGGGCGCCGGCCCACTTGGGTCTGTGGGGCGTATGTCATGCCTATGTTGGCCTTGGGGGGACCTATATGGAGCAAAGTATGTTGTGATTGTGGCAGACCATACTGCGTCGGCAAAGGTACTTCAAATTGTTGTTGTTTTCGGTGGGGTCCATATTGTATCCGATGTTTCTATTTTAGACCATGAACAAATTTAGATTGTAGACCGTTGCAGACCGCATCCTTGCAAACGGACTTGGATAAAGACCACATCCAGGTTTCAAACGCTTACTCTCGCCCCAACAACAACAACAGGAGAAATCTTCCCTGGTGCTTGGACTCTGACTTTTGGTGAACACACCTAGACCACATCACTTTACAACTCCAGCGCCCTGGTTGTGTCGTCACCCATGGCCCAGCCCTAGGGTGTTTGGCGGAACGAGAGCGCAATGCCACGGCCAACACACAACCATTGACCATCATTGACCCGCTTTAATCGTGTTTTGCATGACTTGGCCAGGCAGGACATCGACTAACAACTTCTGTGTTTGGAAAGCCCAGGAACTTCTGTGTTTCATCAGAAGATGAACAAATAGGAAACACTGGTGGGTGCAGTCCAACTTCAGGTTTGCTTTGACTTCCTGAAGAACATATTAGGTCTTGAAAAACATGAAGAAGACCTAGGATTCCTAACTGCTTGTGAGCACATCAGTCAATGCAAGACTTCAGAGTAAAATTCACGCCACAGAAGCCGTGCAAAGGTCCCGCAGAAGCCGTGCGACGGAGAAGGAATACTTGGAGGTGACCTGAAAAGGAATACTTGGTGGAAAGTGAAGCAGCATGTCCAAAGCAACGATGATGCAGCAAACCAGTCGGAGAAGTGGGGTTCTTTTTGTAAGAACCTGGAGTTCAACAAGACGATACAAATGAAAGCTATGATTGCAATTTCTTTTGCCCATGCTTTGGAGAAGGCAGTGGATGACAGCTTTCAACAACGGTAGATTCCAGGCACCCAATGAATGGTAATGAAGACATGGTAACACTTACAGCATTCTAGGGTGGAGGCCATCGCCCTTAAAATACCTCAAGGAAAGGGTTCTCAATCGAGCCTTTCAATGTGCGAGACTGACACCGCCTAGGTCTTGGGTGTGCCACTGACACCGGATTTTACCGCTGTTGGTTTGGCCTACTTTGCACAGGCGTGGTTTGGTGGCAACCAGACCGACATACATACCGAGCTTAGTGAACTTAGTGAGATTCCAATCATACCGAACACCTGTGACTCGCCATTGCACCATGAACAACGATAAGAATCGTTGACCGCAATCGAGCGCAATAATTTGCTGTTCTGCGGTGGCACATCTTGATTGTGTAGCTTTCAACTCGGAGGGCTTGGGATTGAATCTCCATTTGGTTGTGCCTTGGGTGTTTGTCGGAGGGGGCTCTTGCGCTGGCCGCCTTGGCGAAGCCTTTCTACGTGAAGGAGCTGAAAGTCGGAGATTTGATGCCGGGTGCCGGGTGATGGGTTGGAGATTTCCGCAGGTGATGTTCAAATTCCGTCTTGACCCAGTCAAAGCATGTCGCTGTCTTTCACATGTGGATGTTCTGGAAGTCTGGTGAAGGACACACTTGGTTTGTCCCCAGCGGAGGCCACTGCGTTCATTTCCTTGACGTGCGCCACGGAAGCAACATGTCCAAACCTAGGAAGCGACAGGCAACATGGCGACATGGATGTGTGACGAATGTGACATGGGTGTGATCCTTGTTGCTCCTTTGCCAGGTATTGGCCATGGATTATGAAGCCATTGTGGGGCTTCATTGCCAGACTCTGAGAAGCGCTGGAAAGTGATGGCCTCCAACCTAATAGCAAACCATAGCAAACCATATTAGACCTTTCTTCCTTTTCTGTCTCTTTGCTTCTAATATCGATGGCCTCCAACCTACTAGCTTCTCGACGCTTTTCATCATGTACCCTTTGATGACTCATGTAACTCGCTCGTGCTTTTAAAGACCATCGTAGCTGCATGACATAGACCGTCTCCATAGACAATTCATGCAAAGGTCGTCCTTGGGTATCGGGTCAACCTAGATCTATGCTTGTCGGCCTGTCGGCCTTGGGTCTGAGGCCGATTCCGTGCCAATCTTTGGTTCGTCCTGGCCTGAATGTCCCAAGAGTTGTTCAATCACTCTTGCCCACTTTTAATCCACTTAGCCAATGTGCGCTTTACGAATTCCTTTTCCGCAAAGATCATACAGTCCGATTTGAACTTCACAGGCGAAGACAGGCATACTTGGTGCTTGCTGGTGCAGTGAGTGTTGTTGGTGGGCTGCCTCAGAAGAGATGCAAGTTCATGACTTTCTTGATTTGCAAAGTGTATTTTCCAAGAAAGAGATCTGAGGACATCCTCCTCAGAACCCTTCTAATCATGACAAGTATACACAAAGCCATATGCAGTGTCAACACTGCATGTGGGTGTGCAGGTGATATCATACCTGTAGATGAAAATCAATTTCCGTAAAGCAAATCAGTGAAGCTGGCGAAGGATCCTGAGAAAACTTAGGTTGGCTCGGACTTGCCGGCTGGTGGCCAGTGCAAGTGGGCAAGGAGGTCAGGAACAACCCTGGTGGTTCTTCAGCCGGTGCAACCTTGAAGACCAGATTATGCCGTGGTAGCTTCTTGTTCCTAGTTTATAGTCAGGCCAGGAGCCCCTAGTAGCGTCGTTGCTCCTAGTAGCGATGCCAGGAGCCCCTAGTAGCTTCTTTTTCCTAGTAGCGGATAGCAGCCATGAAATGGAATGTTTTGCCATTCAACTAACTGGCTTTCAATTTTTTGAAGAAAGTAGAACATCCAAACAAATCCAATCAATATGTTTGTCGATTCCTCTGTTGGTGGGCTCAAAGACTGCACGGTGAACCCTTGGCCCGGGCCAGTGCCAGGCGTTTGTTTCTATCACGGGAGATCAGTCGGCTTGTTTTTGTTGGTTTCATTTGGTTTCCATCATTTCTCATATTTCATGGCTTTGTTTTCTCATATATAGTGTCTCAGACGTTTGTGGAACACTCAGCAGCAAGAGTTCATCTGATATGAGTTATGGCAGTTGTTTGGTCATCGCTCCAGGTTTTGCTGGTCATGGCTCCAAAGAAGAGGCTCGCGACGAAGAAAACGACCGAAGCGATAGGATGGCCTCCAACCCTAAGAGCGATGGCCTCCAACCTAAGAGCGATTGTCCAACCTAAGAACGATTGTCCAACCTAAGAACGATTGCCTCCAACCCTAAGAGCGATGGCCTCCAACCTAAGAGCGATGACCTCCAACCTAAGAGCGATTGTCCAACCCAAGAACGATTGCCTCCAACCCTAAGAGCGATGGCCTCCAACCTAAGAGCGATGACCTCCAACCCAAGAGCGATTGTCCAACCTAAGAACGATTGCCTCCAACCCTAAGAGCGATGGCCTCCAACCTAAGAGCGATGACCTCCAACCTAAGAGAGATTGTCCAACCTAAGAACAATTGCCTCCAACCTAAGACCGATGGCCTCCAACCTAAGAGCGGTGACCTCCAACCTAAGAGCGATTGTCCAACCTAAGAACGATTGCCTCCAACCCTAAGAGCGATGGCCTCCAACCTAAGAGCGATGGCCTCCAACCTAAGAGCGATGACCTCCAACCTAAGAGCGATTGTCCAACCTAAGAACGATTGCCTCCAACCCTAAGAGCGATGGCCTCCA